ACACACACACACACACGCGCGTTAGACAACTTTGATCAAAACAAAAAAGTGGCCTAGCGCTAATAAAATAATAAAAAAATTAAATTAAATACAAACTTATTTCAAAAAACAGTATGCAAAACAAAAAAAGTGGCCAAGTGGTAACATAAATAAATACATAAAATAAAATGATTTTAGAAAACAGTGAGCAAAACAATAAAAACAATTGTGGACCAACATGAATAATCAAATATGTAAGTAGTTAAGATACGGTATAAGAACAGGTTGCCCGCCAGCGAGGTGTTTAAGAATGACAGCAGTGTTTTCTCCCATCATGCCTCCTGATAACCTCTGAACTCTGCACCCACACACTTCCTCCGCCAGCTTGGCCATGTCACTAGCTATTTCAAAACAGAAAAAACACAAACATTGTAGAATTGAGCAGTCTTCTGTTTAAAGTGTGGAAAGCCACAGATACTCTTAAGACAATTACCCAACACTAGTTCCTTTTTCATCAACATGTTAAAACTTAATTCCATTAAGTTACATTTAGTCCACACATGACAGTTACATTTACTAAGTACCAGAAAACATTTCTCCTTGTTTAGTGTAGCCGTTGTCTTTTGCCATCTGGACCAGTGTCTCCAGCACCACTGTCTTAGGAGGCTGCAGAAGATGAGTCGCCATCCATAAGGCCACAAGACCACATCTGAAGTTACATACAAGAGCAGAGAAATATCAACTAACAGTGCACAAACACGCAGCTACACAGGCAGATAAACAACAGCAATGGACCGATGTATTGTCAAGACAGATATCAGCCGATAAGCTTTTCTATTTGGCCGATAAGTGTCAGAATATTTGTCATACTTGATGTGTACAGGGAAATGTAAAATTAGCATTAAATGATCTTTTAAGTTCTTCACTTTATCAGTGTTATTTTAGTATCACTGAGATACTATTATAGTTTTTAATTAATATTTTGCATTAGTCTTTATTTTTAGATTTTCTGTTTTTGTTGTTTTTGAAATTTTGTTGTGTTTTTGTCATTTGTATTACATTTTTAAAAATGTCTATATATTTTTTATTCATGTTTATTTCAGTTTTAGAACTTATTTTAGTACATCAAGATAAACTAAATGAAAATGAAAACTGTTTCCTTAATGACAAGCTGAATTTCTTTTCAGTTTTTTTGGTTTTTGTCTTAGTGAACTATAATAACCCAGGACTTTATTTGTAAAAAAAAAAAAAAAAAAGATTCCTAGTGTGTACAGACTTACCATATTTTTGAGCACACTGTTGGTTACAATGTTTACTTCTTTTTTCTAATACATATTTTTTAAACATTTTCTTTGTTTTTGTAAAAAACTATAATAGGATTACATAATAAGTTGCTAAGTATTATTCTCTTTAATTTACAGGTTTATTATTTTTATTAAGTTTAAATGATTTTTTCCCCTTTCTGACTCATTTTAAAATGATTTATTTCTAATTTAGTAAACATTATGTAATATTATAATACAGAATTATACATTTTATTGCAGCACATGTTTTTGCTATCTTTAAATTAAATATCGAAATTAAATAGTGTGATATCATGTATACACACATGCATTATACAGTTGTGGTCAAACGTTTGCCATCTACAAAATGTTAATTATTTTACCACAAGAGGGATCCAAATTCATTGTATCCCTCTTATTTTGATAGCACAACTATACAAATTAATAAATTAAAATAAATGTTACAGTATGTCCCTCCTATTTCAGAAAAACAATTAAGATTAGCAGATTACGGAATATGTAAACTGTATATATCAGCCACCCTGCTCTCTAAATATCAACAATCACATATCAAACCCCTAAAATATCAACATCAACAATTACATATTTGTATGGAAACTTACTGTGGACCATCTTGAATAAGCGAAGGCACATACTTATTGAACAGCAACCACTGCAGATCCTTCCTAAAACTTCATGGAGAAATGTTGAGAAATGATAAAGACTGATCAAGGCTGTACAAAAAAAGTCTTCGGAGTACAAAATTGCGGTTTGTACTCACCTGCTCTCTCTGTCCTAGAATAATTCTGGCCTCTTCATGGTCCCCTTCTACAGGGGCCCTTCCCTCTGCTAAAGCCTGGTAAAGCTTCTTCTTGCTGGGCACTGAGCGAGCCAGTGATGGAGGTGGAGGAGGTGCTGCCACATTCTCCACAGACATGCTGCTCCAACACACTTTCACACTAAGTAGAAAGTAAATCAGAGAAGTAAATGAAAACAATAGACAAGATGTAAGAGTATTGTGATTTACATGGCATGGTGTCACGTGTATATATATACACGTTACAATGTAGTGTCCAATATAACGACACCTAAACAATGCTGCAATGAATGCACGTACTAATTATATAAGCATTCGCAAAGTTACATGAATCAGCGTCCAAGAAGTTAAGTTATTTCACTAACTACTAGTAATTGGCTGTGAAGTGCAACTGAAGTCTAGGTAGTGTTCTCTATTTAAGGAATACCAAATAAGGTCATATGGTCGTGAGAGGAAAAACACAATCAAAATACAAAAATACCAAAGAAAATTATATGTTATAAATGTGGCGTTGACGATATATTTGTATTAAACCAATCAGGAGGCATGATATCGTTTGTTCAAAATTAGAAGCTGATTAGATTTCCTATTCAACGACGTGACAGCCGGACAGAAAATAGCGTAACACGACCAACGGACCAATCAGTTCATAGAACAGCCCGCTCTGGCCTCTGGCTCGTCTCCAAAATAGCCAATGAGAAAGAGCTTTGGTAGGAGGGTGTGCTCGACAGACAACCAATCGGCAGGCTCTCCAGGAGACCAGCTGTCCAATAGAATTCTTATATATAGGCGGGTTTTCAGGCGGAAGTCGCACGTTTTTTTGTGTTCTGTGGTTTGCTTCTTATTCAAGTGTGTGGTCGGCAGAAGCTCGTTTAATAAGTGTGAGTGTGTCTAATTGTCTTCTTTTTTTATTAATGCCGTTCATCATCTTCTTATTTGATCAAAATATGGGTATTTCTTGATTAGTGAAATTGTAATAATTCGCGATTAAATTAATTGACAAGCTAAGGCGCTAACGTTAGCTTCCGTTTACAACAACGAGGTAGTTCAGTCATTCACGGGTTTATAGCGCAATTCAGTGTAAAAATCAATTAATTTCATTCTTCTTAATGATTTTTACCAAAACAGATTATTTCTAACATGTGATCAAAAAGAGTTGGGGAAGTTTAGAAAATGCTTAAGCTTGATTTCATTCTGCGCGAACCAGTGAGTTGTGGTTGGCCTTTCGTTCCCTGCGGAGGGTTTAATATAACGTTACGTGTTTTTCATTCCAGAATCATGGCGAGCCAGGAGATGCGGTTAAATCACACGATTTACATCAACAACTTAAATGAAAAGATCAAAAAAGATGGTATGGTTCTGTCTGTCTTTGTTTTTTTTAATAAAAACGATTTTGTAAATTGTTCATGTTGCGAACCTTTCCTCTTCTTTTGACAGAACTGAAGAAGTCGTTGTATGCTATATTCTCCCAGTTTGGACAAATTCTGGACATCCTTGTTTCTCCTACACTGAAAATGAGGGGTCAGGCCTTTGTGATCTTCAAGGAGATCAACAGTGCTTCCAGTGCACTCCGCTCTATGCAAGGCTTCCCATTTTATGATAAACCTATGGTAAGATACATGTATGTATGTGTGTGTGTATGGATAGATATACACGCATCTCTCTCTCTCTCATATATATATATATATATATATATGTATGTACACACACTTTTAAATTGATGTTTTAAAGCCAAGATGTTGTGATCCGAACTAAAATGCTCTTAAAATCTATTCACAGCGTATTCAGTATACAAAGCAGGACTCTGATATCATTGCAAAAATGAAGGGCACATATGTGGAGCGAGACCGTAAGAAAGAGAAGAGAAAGCCTAAAGCCCCTGAAGCAGGTGCTGGGAAAAAGGCTTCTGCTGCTATGGCCGGAGTACCTGCAGCTATGCCTGTTCGTATATTTGGAATCTATATTTGGGAATATGTGTGCTGTTGACTCCATTGTGGTCTATTTTCAGGCTGTTATTGATTTATTGGTATTCTTTCATTTTTGTTTGGTCATTTACAGGGAATGCCACCCATGAGCCAAGCCCCTCGCATGATGCCAATGCCCGGTCAACCTCCCTACATGCCTCCGCCTGGTATGATGCCTCCACCTGGCATGACACCCGGGCAGATGCCTCCAGGTGCTATGCCTCCAGGTCAGATGATGCCAGGACAAATGCCTGGCCAGATGCCGCAGCAGGTTTGTAATAAAACTGGGATGTACCTTTTACTATTAATGATGTATAGAAAATTAAGTTTAATTGGTTATCAATTAATCAAATTTAATATTGATAAAGTTGTGAATATAAACTTAAATTTCACATAAGGCAGTTTTTATATCAACTTCTTAATAATGTATGAATTGATTGAAACATTTAAACTTACAGTAATTTGCTGTCATAACTTGTTTTCATGTTTATTTCTCACTTTAACTAGTAGTAAATCGTAGAAACTGAATGATTCACTCGCGCTTCATGCTGCCACTAGGCAGATATAGCTATATATTTTATTTTATAATCTTATATATATTTTTTATATTATAGTACATTAGAGCATCAATGCTTATTGCAATTATTGGATGCTAGGTGTGCTATAAGTAATATTTACCAGGGCTCTGAACCGGTTCAAGGAACGAAAACCAGAAACGAACTAAATTAAATGTTATAATTCCATGCAGAATCGAAAATTTGAAATGGCCATCATCTGGTTAATAACGTTATTTTATCGTTCCATTTAATATTTGAAATTTGCCGTCAACCAATCACAAATTCAAGTAGTACGGCCTATGCAAATGTGATGCTGAGGCATCCAACGAGTGAAATGCCCGTGCTCAGCTGTGAACTCATCATAGGTCAATCGCAATGGCAATGCATTAGAGTTTATCCGAGGATGGTGTAAGATCAGATTCAACCGATCACACGCACCCGCAGCGCTTCTGTGAATGGAGAAAACGGAATAAAACTATAGTAGGGCTGTGAATCTTTGGGTAGACAGCGATTCGATTCATAGGTTTTTGATTTGATTCAAGAACGATTTTTGCAAATTCAGAACAATTTGATTTGATTCACAATTCAATTTGATTAACGATTCGATTCTGCATTCTTTAAGTGCATTCACAGGATTATTTAAATGCTTCCCCTAAGTTCTTTAAAGTCCCCATGAAATCAAAATTAAAGTGTTCATTTCAGGGGACCTTTAAATGCTTAGTCAGGGGGCAAATTACACAGCAGCCTTTGTGGTTACCGAACCATAGGTTAGAGAATAAAACACTTGTCCATTGTTAGATGCTAGTTTAATGATGCTATGGCATAACATGGCATATGTAAAAATGTATGTAAGCCAAGATTTAAAAAAAGAGCTTTAAAAGTATTGGCTAACATTTTGTCACACCAGGGGCGTAGCCATCATTTCAGAAGTTACAGAAATGTCAAATACAATAATTTTATGTATGTATGTATGTATGTATTATTATAATTATTATTATTTTTTTTTTTACAATAAATTATTTTCTTATCTATTACTTTGAATTTGCTATAAGAAATCAAATATACTGCTGGACAATAAACAATCATTTGTAATCTATAATTCTTTCCTAATGACAATTTTATAATTGTTTTATATGCTACAAACAATTATTTCAATTTTCTGCACATGTGAGTGCATGAGTAAATAGTTGAATGATGAGTATGAGTGAGTGAGTTACTGTGAGTAAATAATGAAGGCGAAAGAGAGCGTCTGAGAGAATATGAGTGTGAGTGAGTGAGTGAGTGATGAAGAAAGACAGAAAGCACAGTAATAGAGGGATTTAAGCCAGCGTGAGTTGTTATTGTTCTCGGTGTGGAAGGAGACACTCTCTAGCAGGGCTCTGAACCGGTTCAAGGAACGAAAATTAAAACCGGAAACGAACGAAATTGTGACAGGACCAGAACCAGAAACAGAAACTAAATCAAATTTTATAGTTCCGAACAGAATAGAAAATTTGAAATGGCCATTACCCGGTTAATAACGTTATTTTATCGTTCCATTTAATATTTGAAATTTGCCGTCAACCAATCACAAATTCAAGTAGTACGGCCTATGCAAATGTGATGCTGAGGCATCCAACGAGTGAAATGCCCGTGCTCAGCTGTGAACTCATCATAGGTCAATCGCAATGGCAATGCATTAGAGTTTATCCGAGGATGGTGTAAGATCAGATTCAACCGATCACACGCACCCGCAGCGCTTCTGTGAATGGAGAAAACGGAATAAAACTATAGTAGGGCTGTGAATCTTTGGGTAGACAGCGATTCGATTCATAGGTTTTTGATTTGATTCAAGAACGATTTTTGCAAATTCAGAACAATTTGATTTGATTCACAATTCAATTTGATTAACGATTCGATTCTGCATTCTTTAAGTGCATTCACAGGATTATTTAAATGCTTCCCCTAAGTTCTTTAAAGTCCCCATGAAATCAAAATTAAAGTGTTTTTTTTTCTTTTTTCTTTTGGGTGTTAGTATCAATATGTTAGTCTTAAGGTTATCTATAAGGCAGTGTGCTCCAAAACAGTGACAAAAT